TGTGGCGCGGCTCTAGCCTTGACTCTAGCAGCGTTACAATTCGTGACAATCGATTTCTTTGTTTTACCAATACTTATGAGAGTAACGTTGCCATCTAACCTGCGCTCTCGACTGAGAAACAAATGAAAATACTGTTTCTCATGTATTTATTCCTATATTATTTCTTCATTCGTCATTTAGTAGTGAACTCGTTGAGACGCTTTTTTCATATTTCTCAATTGATACTCTTTATTATATGAGCTATTTAATCGAAATTTAGAACTCTTGGATTAAATAGTTAGAATATATATATTAGCAAAAATGACATCGATAAGAGGTGAAATTTATCAAAAATTATTTAACACTTATAAAAAATGTTACCCGGATAAATAATCAACGATCGTACAAGAAAATGTTAATAAGATTTGGAACGATCTCAAGCTTAAGTACAAAGGTGACGGGAAGCAATTTGAAGTGGATATTCAAAACAATATTGAATCTTTAAATCAAAAGATAACTCAGAACAAAGCAAGAAATTTAACGTTTTTTACAAGTCTTAAGGTAAGTCAAGAAGTTTTTTTGGTACCTGGTTTATATTTACTATTATATGGATTATATCAATTCTACTTGCGGTTTATAATATTTCATTATTCTGAATAATTTTTATGTGTGCATGATTTTGATATATCGATTCGATATAATTAAGTTCAAAAGAAAAGAAAATTAAATGATTTCGGTGTAGAATTATAGTGTAAACGAATTTGTGTATAAGTCTTTATTTTTTTTAATCAATTTTAATATATACTTATAATAAATTCTTTGTTTTTTTAGCAACAAAATACAGTCAAAGATGGTTCTCAAGCGTCGACGAGTAAAGAAGATCTTCCTAAACGATAAACAGGCTCTACTGAAAAAATTTCACCTCGTGAAGAACAAATATGCAGTTCAAAAACGGCTACACCCGCCCAAGATGAAAGCAAAAAAAAAATTCAGTTATGGAATCAAGTTTAAATTCATTACTTCTGCAAAGAGATTCTGATATCACACGTCGAATAAAACCTTACTACAGCATTTAAAAAAATTACATCCAAAACGGAAAAGAAAAGATGAAGTAGTTCGACGTATACAACCAACTCGCATCGCAGCTCGACGAGCTCGAGCGCTGTTATGCATATTAGGAGATGAAAAAGCTGGTACAGAAAATGCAGAATGGATAGATGACGATGAAGTGGACGGTAGTTTTGAAAATGAAGAAGAAGATGTTGCAATACCGATTATAGATATTTCAGCGCATTTACAGAATCCTTGGACTTCTGATTAATAGAAATATGATTTATTTATTTGTTATGAAAAGATATTAGAATAGATAATTATATATTTAAATTTTATTCTAAAAACTAAATAAATATTTAAATTCTTAAAATTTGTGTACTATCAATTGAAATTTATCATACTTGGGGGGGGGGGGGGGTTCTCCGTTTTTGTGACGGAATATTTCAGGACAAAGTAAAAAAGTCCGGACATGTCCGAACTAATCCGGACGGATTGTAACCCTACTCCCACCATACTTGAGACTTTTATTTAGGTTCATGTCTAAGGCAGCAAAAAGAATTTAGTCACGTCCAAGTCTTAAACAAACTTCTATTCCTTAAGTTATGGGGTTGGAATATAATTTTCTTGTAGTTTGTGTACTACTAGTAGCTTACCAATTCCAAATTTCAGCTTTCTAGGTCATTACAAAATACCTAAAAAGAAATTAATGATCGCGGTAAGTCAGTAACGAAATCAGTGTTTTTAGGTATCGATAAAATCTAAAGTATAAGAGTTATGCTATTAAAACTTAATCCGCCTTATAAAGAAACGTAGACGAAAGTTAAACCAGGACTTAAACCGATGCTTTGACTTTTGTTTTCTAAAAAGAAAACAGAGACAACATTAAGTTTAGAACCAGTCTAACTTTAGTTTTAATTGGGTAGAATTTTGTTCACCCGGTATAATCCAAAACCCAAGTTATAATAGTTATTTATTATACAAGAGTGGAAAGTTCCTTTTTAACCGCGTGCTCGATTTGGATGACCGAGCAAGCGAAGGATTCTAAAGTTGAATCACGAGCGCAGCGAGTGATTCTAAATTAGAATCCTGAGCGTCAGCGAGGGAAACAAACGAGCACAAGGTGAAAAATCTTTCCACTCGAGTGCAATACGTAACTTTTCATCCCACCTCAGCGAGGAAATGACAAAATGAAAAAGAAAACAATTTATAATGACAAAATATTTTTATTTCAATTAAAACACATTAAGATAATCTATAAATTGAAGAAAATAATAAGAAGTAGAAAATAATTAAGAAATATTAAATGTAACGTTGCTACAGTTACTTATGTTAAGTTTAATATTTTTGTTAGGTAATGTTATGTTGGTGTTTGTGAATTGTGCGCTGTTTTGTGGTAAACTACTCGTATCAGTAATTTTAAATAGTTGTGCCGATTCATTGGATTCTATTGGCGTAAATGTTGGCGAGAGAGGGCTATTGTTTCCAATCTTATGGGGGCTCATTTTAGATGTAGAAGGGCGAGACCAAGAATCTGACAGAGGTTCTTTCAGCGTTATGGCCTCCACGATACTATTACAAATTTTTGATTTACTTTGGATTGAATCCTCTATGTATCCCTCTACAACCGAATTAGACTTCCAGCCTCCATGGCGCTTAAGCGATAGAAGATCAGCCCCTGATTCGGCCAAAAGTGTGGCTGAGGTTCTTCTAAAACAGTGACCGGTGTATAACGGGGGTTCTAAAAGTCCGAGAAAAGTTGCTATTTCTCGTGGAATACTGCCAATTTTATTCTGACCCATAGGTTGTCGGATACACTTTCCGTTGCGATATTGTAGAAAAAATCGTTCAATTAGGGTGTTAGAAGGACGTAAAGCTTGATATTTCTGAACAATGTTTACATATTCCTTGCGAATAACGAAGTTGCGGTCTTTTTTTGTCTTGGTATTTAGTACATTAATTAATAGCAATTCATCAGAATTATGAGAATATTTTGATACGTTATTGACATTAAGTAGTGTAAGTTCATTTGTTCGACATGCTCCGGTTATACCAATAATAAGAACAACCTGTAACAAAAGAAGTATTTATAATCGTAAATAAATTAATCAAATTAAAAATATTGTAAGTACTATGTACAATTTTATCAACAACAAAAAATTACACGTATTGACTTACTTTTGCCGCTAAATATACGGAATCAGGTGCTTCATTAATAAACTTTGCAATTTCAGATGCTGTGAAAACCTTCGATTTTTTTGGTTTATAACCAGATGAGGCTCTTTTTAAAAATGCCACTAATTTATGATAGGTGTCGATATGAACGTCTTTCTTCATCTTAATTGTTAATTTTAGCATTGAATACGTACTCCATAGCGTGCTTGCTTTCTTGGTCTCAGATAATTCTATAAAATATGCCAGCAAAACGTTTTCGGAGAAAGTTTTTGCTCCTTTAGCTAGTCGCCACATGTTAAATATATCGTACTGTTTCAAATACTTCTCTCGTGATTGCTGAGGGAGAAGGCTCATTTACGCATTATTAACTGTTTCAGTTAACTCAGTTGGCGTTAGATAAACTTCATCGTCGCTAATGTCACTCATTTTAGTTGATTTTTTTGTACAGTTTTTAGGTTATGTTAATTATATTAAGCAATAAAACGTGAAAAACTAGAATGGCGCGAAGCACGCAAATAAAACAAAGAAACCAAGAAGGTTCCAAATTTAAATTTTTTCACAATTTAAAAAGTTCTAATCATAAATTTGGCACCATAGAGGTTACATTAAATAGGTTTAATGACGTTTTGAATTTACAATTATATTGAGTACTCATTATATGTGATGTTCTAAATTCAAATCTACTTTGCCGCTCAAGCGAATAAAATAGAATTTTCCAGCCAGATTTCGAAGCGCAAAATTACACTTTCCGAGGTGGTGGGATGAAAATATATTTTTAATGGTTCAAACGCTTCGAGAAAAGGCAAGGTAGTGCTTTTGCACTTCCCTTTGCCCGTCTTGTCGTTTTGGCAGATTTCAATTACTTCCAAGTATAGAGTTTTTTAAATTTACAAAATGTTGCATATTTACTTAAATTCTTCATTACAATTTATACCTAATCAGTTAAATTTGGAATTTGGAATGGTTTTTATGCATTTTAAGATAAGATATTGTTGACGCCATCTATCCTTCGACGAGAGAAGCTGCACGAGGTCCATCATCATCGACTATTCATACATTCATCCCTCACTCATTAGTTTTATATACATTCACACTCCCTCTTGCAATTCGAATCCAAAATAGACAATGTACGCACATAATTTCAATAATATCTGTATTTTACTATGAATTATATCGTACAATCTGAATATCTGATTTTTTTGAGAAATCCACATATAGAAGACACTAATAACAGATATTTTGTTAATTGTGCTTGAATTTGAAATATCAAATAAAAATTTTAAGCATCAAACTACTAGATTTATAAACATAAAGAAAATTTTACTAGAAAAAACATAAAAAAAAATTTTAGTTTGCCTGCGAGGCAAACTTAAAATGTAAATATTAAAACATAATTTTAAAAACGATTTGGCTATGAAAGCCGTTTGAACTATTGCTCGTGTTTAATAAAAAAATATTTTAATAAAAATACTAATTTTAAAATAGATTTCATTTAATTATATAAAAATAATATATCATAAATAATACTAAGTCCAAATTAAGTAACAGTATGGATCAATACGAATCCTTCTGTCAATTTATAAGGTCCGTTCATTTAACATTTAATTACATACACGCCTATATAGAACAATCCAATAAATGGCTAATGTTACGCAATGTGTGCAGATTGTTGGAAAGCAGTCAATGTGTGCCAGTGTAGCGATGAGCTTATCTACCCTATGTAGCAGATATTTATTTCACCGCTTCCGTACAGTTAATGCGATATCTAGGCTTGTTTATAATCAAAGCATTGAACTATTGAACTACCTATATTAATGTTTGTTCCGATTTTCGACATATTTCTTTATGAACGCTCCCACGATGAACATCGGATGCTTCTGCCACTCGTTGAGTACCGCCTTGGGAATTGTAACCTGGAAAATAACGTTAAGGAATAATTCTAAGACAATTTTGTTCTTGTGCTTATTCTTCGTATCAGCTAAAAGACGTCCTAAATGGTAGACGTAGTAGGTATGATGGTAGATAAAAATGGACGATTCAAAGGTTTTTAATAAGTATTTCAGTTCAATAACTTTAGTAGGTATCACCATCATCACCTCCAGCCTATAAATGTCCCCACTGCTGGGGCACAGGCCCTCGCTATAGACGAGATAGGGAGATTGCCCTTTATTCCACCACGCGGGTCCAGTTGGTGGGTACTAACGACTGCAGATGCAGCTGATACTAACGGCTTAGCGTGCCTTCCAAAGCACGGAGGAGCTTGAGATAATAAGTTTTGAAATTGAGAAAGTTGCTGAACTTCCACGATCGCAGGTCGAACACGCTATCCGCCTGCAGCATCGAGCTCCTCTACCTTTAGTATGTATACCTGCTTATTAATATTTATTTCTTGAATTCATTTTCGATCTCTGTTAATAATAAAATGTGATTTGTTGTTCAGCTGTCAGTGTTTGGGAAACCTTATACTGGGTTACTACTACTTATACTATGTTCCAGCGTTATCCATCTGTCTTATGAATAACATTATTCAAATATGACCTGATAGATTAATTGAAACAAATTTTTCAACGGATACAAAAACTTAAGCAATCATAGAAAAAGTATTCATAGCAACATAAAACACTTGTTGAATACTTATTCAGAAGGTGTTTAAAGCGCGATTCATTAACTTTTTTCATTATTATCGACGTTTCGGATCCTGCAACAAACTCGGTGGTCAAAAATTGTTTTATTAAAACTTATTTTTTCTTTTTATCTGATCGCTTTGCAGCCTGTCCACGACAGTGACGCACGCAACACCCGCACGCCTCACCCGTGATAGCTACGAATGCCGTCACTTTCATCTCTATGATCCTTACACCGTGACGGTAGAACTTTCGCGTTTTTAGTATTCAGTAAGGAGTAGTATGTCTCGGATCTTTTTACTGGTGCTTTGGTTTAAAAAGTGTTATATTAAAACTTTTTCCTTTTTTACCTGATCGCCTTTCAACCTGTCCACGAAAGTGACGCAAGCAATACCCGCGCGCACCCCCGCTTCGCTTGTGATAGCTGCGAATGCCATCACTTCCATCTCAATGTTTCTCACGCCCAGTGACGTCAACTTGTTCAAATATTCCATCTTGTCTGCCTCACTGTAGTCGCACAGAGGCCCGTCGAGGCGACCCTGACCTGAAACAATTGTTCACATGAATTTAACTCTTTATTGCATTAAAATATAACAATATGTAAGGTCATATAAGTGGTAAGCACGGAGGCGCTCGGTTTGTTCAAATACTCCATCATTTCTGTGCTGCGTAATCTCACAGAGGCCCATCGAGGCGCCCCCTTTTTGAAGTTATACTTCTTTAGGCGCGTTATGAAAAAATGATGAGAGTGAAATTTTAAGATGCGCGCGCATCACTGTAACACAAAATATTAACAGCATGAAGTTGGTCGCTTTGCTGTTACTTTTGTGTTTACCGCACATTAAGAAAATCTACCAACAAAATAGAAATAGAATCTCTATTTAGTGGGTGCTAACGACTGCATTGTGAAGGCCTATCAAAAGTATTTATTAATCTGGAACAACGGAACCAAAGCGCGATTCAGGAGACTACAGCGCCATCTCTTGACCATTGGTGTAGTAGAACCAAAATCCAGATCTTTATTTTTAGTAATAAAGTAACAGTTATAGGTATTGACTTGAACTTTATTGACTGTGTCCTTTTCCAGACTTTTTATTAATTTATTGTAATTAATTATTCGCATGCAATTAAAAACTAATTTTAAACGATGCCAAAGAAGGATAACTTCTCACGCGCCTACGTAAGTACACGCACCCATTTTTTTTTATAACGCAGGTAAAAAATCTTTTTACAGACGACGGCGCCTTTAAGAGGCACACCGCCGAATGGACCTCACACCTGGCTCCCGCAAGTCTAACGGACCCCCCAGTGGCTGACCACCGAGGACCCCGCAACTCTTACGGGCGCTTTTCGGCATAATATCCGCTAAAAAAGTCCTGCGAATACCTTATACACAGCTTTATGCGAAGCCGCGGGGTCCCCGTTTAGGGATTCTTCCGCGACTCCGCACCCAGCAGCTTCCCGGCCTCGCCGGGGCTCCACGGCAGGGGTCTCCCGAGGTATTATGGGGACCCCGCAGACGTGCGCAGGATGGCCCGCGCGTGGGGGCTGAATACGCGGCCTAGTGCCCACCGTACCGCCCCCCGTCCGCTGCGGAGGGCTACTTGGGCGCACCCATGTAGCTCCCTCCGCCGCCCCCCCTTTGTAGGACAGAACTACAAGGGGAAGCGCGCCATCCAGGGGGGGGGGAACGGGAGGGGGAGAATAGTTCTCCCCGGCCATCTCCCCCCTCCCGGTCGGCCACGTCTCCTCGCCCCTTCTCCTGCGAGATGGGGGGGGGGGGGGGGAAGCGCGGGCGACAGCATTCGTGGGGGGGTCCAAGCGGCCAGCGCTACTCGGACATCCCCCCGTCTGAGGGCGCCCGTACGGCGCCGCCGGGCACTTTCTCGGGAGGCTTGCCCCGGTTAACCGGGGGGTCGCAGCTCCTGCTCCCCATGACGTAGTCGGCAGGCCGACCACTGTCCGCGCACATAGCGCATCGGGACGGGGCGGCGCATATCGCTGCCCTGTGTCCCGTCTTCGTGCACCTGAAACACAGGCTACTGCGGTCCTCCCTAGACGGGCACCTATCGGCGACGTGGCCCCTGCCCATGCACCTAAAACAGTGCGCAGGCGGGGGGCCCAGGACCGTCACGCGTGCAAGCTTCCACCCCACCTTCAGTCTGTCGCCCTCCGCCACCTTTCTCGCGGCGTCTACGGGGCACCTTACTTTGGCAAACCCGTTGCCTCCCGGTCCGGGGTGTACTTCCCCTACCTCTACCCTGCAGGCCTGGCAGCCCCCCTGTTATTGTAAACAATTAAATAAATAGGTTCGAAGGAGCGGTAGTATTTTCAAAATATTCAATTTAAGGAAAACACTATTTTTTAAAGGACGGAATATATTTTAGAGAAAAAATACCAATTACGAATAAAAATATGAGAGACCATTTTCCTTTTACATTTTTTTGTTAATGTGACATCTGCCACTTATCAGTTTTAAGATGAGGTATAGAACCTCAACATCCTCCCCACCTTGAGGTGATCGCTGCCGTCCGCTGGTCACGTTGCGCGGCGTCAGCGACTCGTGTACTTCATGTTGTTCATGTTCATCGAGGTCGTTGCTTAATTGGCGAATAGACTAGCTCTGCGTAACACACTTCCAGTAGAGAAGGCAATAAACAAAATTAGAACTAAGAGAACAAAAAAATAATTTTACATTTCATCATAACTAATAAACATTTTAAATATTTAATCTATCTGGAACCTTAACGACACGACCAGTACGAGTAACCAGTGGCGTTCTGGTATTTTCAGCTGTCTGAACCCCTTTGTTAACTAATGAGTCATTGTTAGATACCTCAAGGCGAAACAGGCGTTGAGCCGCTCTTATAAGTTCGCCAGTACCCGTTTTTACACGGGCCATCCTTCAATATGACTTGAAACTATGAAAATCTCCAATATAACTCCTAACGGCCAATTGACACGCTTAACATCATCAGACCCAACTAATACGACATCACCGACTTCTATAGTCCTAGTGCACTTAGGAGTTGTATTACTATCCGTGAGTCGTGACAAATATTCGGCGCGAAAACGCTGCTTCAACTGAGCACTTAATTTATTCAGATACCTCCAGCGCGAAGTTAAAATCTTACCATCGATATTGTCCATAATGTCGACATTATTATTCGTGCTATCCATATTAATAAACATTGCGGGTGTAAGAGGCCTTAAATTCTCTGTATTGTCCACTATATAAGTTAGAGGTCTTGAATTTATTATAGATTCTACTTCACAAAGAACAGTGTACAGTTCAATCTCCCTTAACGCTGCTTTCCCTAAGATTCTTCGCATTATTTCTTAAGAGTCCGTACCATACGCTCCCATTACCATGGCGCTGATGGCGGTATGAAGCGCCATTCAATTTCTTGAACAGACATTTTCTGTGCTATTTCGCGACAGTCAATGCCCTTGAGTATGTTACTAGCAACTCGAAAATTCGTGCCGTTGTCACTATAAATGATTTTCACCCTTCCTCTTCTTGCTAAAAACCTTCTTAAAGCAAGCATGAAATCTTCTGTAGATAGTGACAAAGTGAGTTCTATTGAATCGCACGGTACGTTGCACAGGTGAACAGTACAACCCAGCATTTATTACCAGACTTCAGTATCAATGGGCCAGCCAGATCAATACCTGTTATTTCAAAAACTGATCCCAGATTAACACGGTCAACAGGCAATGGGGCTGAAGGAAGCGTGCATGCCTTAGCACTAAATCTTTTACATATGATACAGTTATTAACTATTTTCTTAGCAAGTCTTCGAATATTAATGATCCAGTTAAGACTCACTGTTTAGGCCAAATTATAGTAACTTTAAATATCAATGGCCCCATACTGCCAGACGAGGTTTTATGAGAACCAAATGTTACCTGAAGCTCGGTTCTACCCCTTTTTGGGATTCTGAACGTAATTATATATATATTTTTATTAATGTGTGCTAGGAGGGTAAGTCCTTTAATCTCCGTCCAGTTATTTCATACCTACCCGATCCTGGGCCATAAATTGGCTTCCCCTCCAGTACTCACCTCACCGTTAGTGTTTGAACTATCATCGCACGGTTAACATTACATTCGTCGTCAAACTCCAAAAAGGATAAGAATACAATCCTTGGTGCTCTGTACGTGCTGTGCACATCGTGTTAGAGTTTTGCAGAAGAAAAACTGTGTATTTCGAGTGGCCACTCGTACTAAGAAAGTGCTGGACAAACAGAGGTACTTATTTCGCAGCTGAATGTTGGTGAACTGGTGAGTCTTCCATTATTTAACTTATCCCTCTTCTCCCGTTACACCCTTCAGCACACGAACCAGTCGCGCATACATTATTTTTGGTCACTTCGGCCTGGATTGCGAAATAATTTTACCTATATCTAGTTCTTAGTAAGGGGCTAAAAGTCATTAAATACTTTAGCTGGTTTCATTAACTAATACAATTTATCAAAAATGGCTACTTCTAAATCACAAGATCAAAGTTTTGAGCGCAGTTTGCGTAGATTGCAAAATAAAATTAACGCTTATTTTTCGCGTATTCAAACTACCTACGATAGTATGGCAAAGTTAGACACCGCGCAGCAGATAGACACATTTTTGTCTAATGCAAGTACGGTTGATTTAATACGTTCGGAGTTTGTACGTACATTAGATGAGCGTAATGAATTGGTAGCTTCGAATGAAGACGCTGGGGAGTCAGATTACACTTCTATGCTAGCTTTCGAAGACTTATATGCGCGAATTAAGTTCAAATGCTCACAGTTATCATCACATTCTCATACCTACGAGACAAAAAATGCGTCTCAGAATAGGCAAGGCCCGAAACTACCGAGGCTTGAGTTGATGTCGTTTGATGGCGAATTGGAAAATTGGCCCATATTTTATGAGACATTTAAGAATGCAATTCACGATAATACTGAATTGAGTGAAAGTGAAAAAATTCAATACTTAATGGGCAAATTAACTGGAAAGGCCCAAACTATTTGCCAAGGTTTTATGCCTACAGCGGAAAACTATTCTGTTCTGTGGCAAACGTTAGTAAATAAGTATAATGATAAGCGGTTACTGGCTGCTTCGTACTTAGATAAATTATTAAATTTACCCCTTGTGAATGAAGATTGTTCCAATAGCTTAGACATTTTTATTGATAAATTTTCATCATTAGTTAGCTCATTAAAGCAACTTAAACTGGACAGTCTAGAAGATTTTATCTTTATTCACGTCGGTTTGAAAAAGGTGGGATTAAACACCGTAAAATCTTTCGAAATGCATTCCGGTAATTCAGTAAAACTACCATCATGCACACAATTTGTCGAGTTTGTTCGCAATCAGTCGCATATTTTACAACGAGCTAATAGTATTGCTGGCACGAAACAGTCTAATAGTAAATTGACGTCGTCAAAAAATAGTGTACCTAATTCTACTTCCCGTTTCAATAATAATTATAATAAAATTAGTAAAACGTTTGTAATTAACGAACAAAATAAATGCTTATGCTGTGGTAATACTGACCATTTT